GTAGCAAAAATCCAACTTACGAAAAAATCTTGCACAATGTTCCAAAAACCGACCCCAGGTTACCACATTGTCTCTTTTGGTCGGGTCGGCCAACTAGCTCCACCCTGCGCCCGAATTCCTCTTAGCTCATCTCGTTTCGCGACAACGACGACGACGACGACGCCGACGAGAACGATGACCACGACGGCGACAACGAGGGCAACGACGACCGCGACGACGACGACGAGGACGATGACCACGACGGCTACCAGCGACGACGACTAGCGACGACGACGATCGACGACGACGACGCCGACCACGACGACGACGGCGAGGACGACAACGAGCGACGACGACGACGACAATCGACGCCGACGAGGAACGACGACGACGAACGAGGACGACGATTACGACGACGAGATGACGAAGGATCGAAGATCGAACCTCGAAGTGCGAAGCTTCGAAATTCAAACTTCGATCTTCGAACTCCGAACTTCCAGCTTCTAACTGCGAACGTCGCTGGGGTGCCAGGGATGGACTGGGATGGAGGGAAAATGGGAAGGAAAAGCGAGGAAGCGGGAGAGGAAGTTGGAGGAGAACGAACAGGCGTGGAGCGACGAGGAACGGGCGGCGAGGAGCCGACGTTGAGGGCGGCGGGATGGGGGGACAGGGAGGAGAGGGGAGACTTCAAAACGAAAATCGCGCCACGGCGCCTGCACGCGCGCCCCCGATCTCGGCGGCCGACGCGCGCGCCCCTGCAGAAATGCAACGCGCCCTTCATTCGAGCCCCGCTGCTGCGGAGCCACCTACTCCACAACCAAATCGTCTGGGGAGCTGTTCGGACCCCAAACTACTAGTTCTTCAGCCACTCGGCTCTTGCGAGTCCGCCCTCATGACAAGGGCAACCTTCACATGGGGACACTCAATGGGGTGTTGATTGAGAACGCCCCATGTGGCTGGTGGCAGGAACGGACGAGGGGGGGCGGATAGAGGAGCAGGACGAGCACTGGCAGGGGATATGCACCAGGAGAGAGATCCCATTGAGGACGAGGAGGGGAGGGGACGAGAGCCACTCATAATTAAGCGCACGCAGGCCCACGCACGTGCTCCATTTCTCAGCGACCGCCGCGCCGCCATGAGAACTGTCGTACCACCGCGGCTACTGCGGCGGATGCGCGACCTCTCCCATCCCTGTCCTGCGCTGCGTCTGCTACCGCCCTCCCCCCTTCCAGCCAAGCTCGGGTTTCATGCTCGGAGACGGGCGCGGCTGGCGGCTCTTAGTGCGGGTGCGCGTGCTGCCTCCAACTCCTCATCCCCCTCCTCCTCCTCTCCTCATCCCCCCTCCTCTTCCTCCTCATCCTCCTCTATCGGCCCCTCTCCGATCGCCGCTCAGCTCTCCTGGTGCGGCTGGCGGCAAAAGTACCGAATATTGCCTGGCATGTCCTTCGCCGTCTTCTTCGACATCTCAAGCATCATCTTGCCCTTCTCCTCGGCACGGCGCGCCCCCTCCATCATCTGCCGCGCCTGGTCGACGAGCATCTGGCCCTTCACTCCAACGGCGCGTGCGTGGCGGCAACGATTGCGCCGCTGGAGAAACCGCACCACCATGGTCGCCCAGTGCCAAACACTGCCCTCCGTCGTGATGAGCTCGAAGTCATCGACGTCGTACTTGCCCGCGATGCTCGCCATAGCGGCGCAAAAACCGCGAAGGAGCCTCCTCTGGCAGTCCCCGCTGCTGCGGAGACTTCGGCAGAGGCCCCTGCGCGGTTCCGTCGCGGAGGCGGGCGGGCGCGGCGGGAGGCAGACCTGCAACGGCTGCGGCTTCACTTTATCGCATTTCCATCCCTCCCTGCACTCACATGGCTTTTCCCATTGCGCCAGTCTGCTGCTCCCACTTCTGAACTACCTCATCCCTTCTACCTCCATCTGCACCCTCCTCTTCCTGTTCAATCCTCCCTCCTCCCTCCACCGTGCTCATTTCTCCTTACTCCCTTCTCTGCTCCTCCTACGTGGGGCGTTTCACGACAACGACGACGACGATGACCACGACGGCGACAACGAGGGCGACGACGACCACGACGACGACGACGAGGACGATGACCACGACGGCGACCAGCGACGACGACTAGCGACGACGACGACCGACGACGACGACGCCGACCACGACGACGACGGCGACGACGACAACGAGCGACGACGACAACGACAATCGACGCCGACGAGGAACGACGACGACGAACGAGGACGACGATTACGACGACGAGATGACGAAGGTTCGAAGATCGAACCTCGAAGTGCGAAGCTTCGAAATTCAAACTGCGACCTTCGAACTCCGAACTTCAAACTTCGAACTGCGAACTTCGCTGGGGTGCCAGGGATGCAATGGGATGGAGGGAAAAATGGGAAGGAGAGAACGAGGAAGCGGGAGAGGAAATTGGAGGAGAACGAACAGGCGTGGAGCGACGAGGAACGGGCGGCGAGGAGCCGACGTTGAGGGCGGCGGGATGGGGGGACAGGGAGGAGAGGGAAGACTTCTTAACGAAGATCGCGCCACGGCGCCTGCACGCGCGCTCCCGATCTCGGCGGCCGACGCGCGCGCCCCTGCCGAAATGCGACGCGCCCTTCGTTCGAGCCCCGCTGCTGCTGCGGAGCCATCTACTCCGCAACCAAATCGTCTGGGGAGTTATTCGGTCCCAAAGCTACTGTTTGCCACCCGCTGCTGCGGGCGCCGAGGGCCTGGTGCTGGACGCCGCGGCCCCGCTGCCGCGGGGCCCCTGAGAGGGCGTCGGCCTCCCCTTCTCTCTGGCGGCGTCGAACTTGACCTTACGCTCCACACCGGGGTCCTTGTACCAGCGAAAAGATCCTGACCCGTCGCTCCCGCCCAAACCCGCGGCTGGTGGCCTCACCGTGTCCGCGCGGGGGACGAGGGGCAGAGCTTCGACCTTCCTGTCGCCCCAGTGCGGGTGTAAACGGACGCCTGTCCCGTCGTCGCGGTGCAACACGAAATCCCACATCGGCAGCTTCACTTTCACCCGCTGCCCCGCGAACTGTCGCGCGCGCACAATACTCTGACGCATGTGGTCGTAGCTGTTTGGCCGGACTTCGAGGGAACAGCCGATCAGAGCCCCGCTGCTGCGGGGCCCCTCCACGACCTCCCTGATATCTTCCTCCCTGAGCGTCGCCACCATCTCTTGCCACCGCCAAGGGACTTCCTCGTCGCTTTTGAAACCAAAGCTCGTCCTCGCACCGTGGTCGCAAACAGCGACCATGGTGGGCTCCGCATTGTCAAACCACTTGGCTTCTGACTCGAACGGGGCAGTTGGGTCTTCATTCAGATGGCGCCACCATTTCAACGCTTGATTGTGTTGCTGAAACGAAGTGCCGAGCCTCTCTTCATAACTCAAAAAATAATTAACATCAAACTTCTCAAAATCCTGGGGCCCGCGCGCCGCCGCCGCTGCGGTGGCGCGGGGCTCCTGCGCCGCAGGCGCGGCTCGGGATCCCGACCCCTCTCCTGAAACTGTGTTCCCAGGTTCTGGTACGTTTCGGAGGGCAGCCCTCGCGAAATTATCGAATTCGGGCATGCCGAGACCAGGGGCGCGGGGGCTCACAACGCTAAGCGCGGCGAAGCGAGACGGCCGTTGAGGCGAGACCGCCGCCGCTGCTGCGGCGGCAGGGCCATCGCGCCATTTGGCGTCCTCCGTTGGCGTGTGCCCGTCTTGTCGCCAGTCTCTCCAACCCCTCGCTGACCAATCATGGCCGTCCTCCCAGCCACGCCAGCCGCTGCTGCGGCTATCCCACCATCCTCCCGCGCCATCCCATGTGTATCCGCCTGCATCGCCCATTGCAAGACGATGGCGCAGGCGCGCGTTAGGCCGCGACGGGCCCAGCTGCACCGGTGCTCGCGGGCGATCCCACGGGCGCGGGATGGTTTGAGCATAGCGGCGGCGGACGACGCGATGTGATTGGACGGCGGAGAACTTGAAAAGAAGGGAGGTTGGAAACGAATGAACGAAGTGGACGAAGAGCGGAAATCGAACCAGAGGGGAGGCGAATAAAGAGCGGAAAAGAATAAGGACATGCAGACGAAGGAGAGTGACGAGGTAGATGGTGGGCCAGAACGGCAACGGAGGATAATGTGGTGGAAATTGTGAAAAAGACGCATGGAAAAACACGACGAGGATCACAGACGCAAAGATGATGAGCGCAGTGGTAGCATGACATATCCGAAATCAAGCAGGATGACGAGGAACGGGATGACGAGCAACTCTGTCGCAGAGAGCCTCCGAACGCACCCCCTCTGTCACAGAGGGCCTCCGAACGCACCCCCTCTGTCACAGAGGGCCTCCGAAAAACACCCCCTCTGTCACAGAGGGCCTCAATGATCACTTTAATGCGGCTTCTGGATTACTGTCCTCGTTCTGCTTTTGCTGCGAAACGAAATCGGAACGAAAACGGCCCACGAAATCGCCAAAACACTGTTGAGCTCGAGCCCTGGCTGTCAGGGCCGGCCAAGAGGGGGGCGTCCAAGAGGGGGGGGCGCAAATCATGGCCCGCGGCGCGTGCGCGGCCCAGGGAGGGGGGGGGGGGGGCGGGGACGCCGTGACACAAGGGGGGACGCCATGAAATCTGGGGAGACATCATGGCCCCCGCCATGATGTCCACACACACCCCTGGCGACCATCCCATCCCCCTCTCGGCCGCCCCCGAGGCCAGCGAGGCAGATGAGACGCGGGAACCGCACCGGGCAGCCCGGCAGATGCGGCGCCACGAGGCGGCCCCCGGGGAGCAGCGCCCGGGTGCTGGCCGCTCGGGCGAGCCGCGCGCGCAGCTGGCAAGACCCGTCCGCGTCGAGTCGCGGCCCTCGTCGCCGAGGCGACGAAGACGGCGGCGACGATCCTGCCAGGAGGAGGAGGAGGAGGAGGAGGAGGAGGAGGGGGATGGAGGATGGAGGAGGATGGAGGAGGACGGAGGATGGAGGAGGACGGAGGAGGAGGAAGAGGAGGAGCAGGAGGAGGAGGAGGAGGAGGAGGAGGAGGAGGAGAAGGATGGAGGAGGAGGATGGAGGATGCGCAAAGCGCCCCGGTGCCCGCTGCCGCTGCCAGCGGCAGGAGCCCTGACGTCGTGCCGTGGCCGGGATGCGCCTGGGCGCTCGTTGGGGCGAGGCGCAGGCGTGGGAGGGCACCTTCCGCCCTCGCGGGCGCCGAGCCTCATCGGGCGCTGCGCTCGGGCGCAGGCTCGCCGCGTTCCCGCGCGCACGAGCGCCCTCGCCCGTCGTGCGGGAGGAACTCCGAAGGGTCGGCCTTTCGAGCCTGGCGATGTCTCCTCCCCGCCGCGGGACCCGGGGCCATCAGCAGCGGTCAGCCCCGGGAAGGTCGTCTCAGAGCTCCCCGGGGCGGGGGGCGCCGAGGGGGCGGCCTCAGTCAGCATCGAGCCGAGAAGCAGCGAGTCGAGTCGGAGTCTGCGTCGGGTCGGGCTGCATCGGCACGGGGTCGCAGTCGTCTCGGATCGGCCGCGCCAGAGTGGCACAACCGCGCCATGCAAGCAGATGGCCAGCATGTGGCCAGTCGAAGCGGCTCGGGCAGGCCGGGAATCGATCTTTGATCGGATCGGTCGGATCGAATTGGGCCCCCGAGGGCGGGCGGGCTCGAGGACTCGAAGGCTCGAGGTGGAGGCGACGCGGTCGGCCTGCCGCGGCCGCGCGGCCACCCGCGGCCGCGGCTGCGGCGCAGGCACTTCTGGGGCACGAAGGGGGGGGAGAGAGGAGGGACGGAGGGGGGGACCAGGGAAGGGATGGAAGTGGAGGGATGGGCACAGTTCGGAAGGGCGGCGAAGTCAAGAGGCGAGGCAGGTGCGGCAACGCGCCGACGCATGTGTGGAACGAGCATGCACGGCGGTACATAGCGAATGGGGGACCCAATGGAGAAAGACCTGCCGGTTGCCGCGCTCGGCGCGGTGCTGCCGACCGCCGCGCTCGGGGACCGTTTACTCTCATAAGAAGGGCCATGTGGGTATCCGGGGGGGGGGGCCGTCTTCCTTGAGAGCGACCCCTCCCACCCAAGACCTCGACCAGGGCAGACGCCCACGGAGCCCGGCAGCTTGAGAGTGCTAATTACTGGCGATCGCGCCTCAGCCCCCGGCGTGCGCGAGCAGCAGGATGCCCACCGCAAAGAGGCCGCAGACCACCGGAACGAGGCCCCATGCTCGGAGGGGGGCCAGTTGAGGAACGGCAGCTTCCCCGCCCGGCCCGAAACTGTGCAGCACCGATCCCCGGACTTCTCCCGGGGTCCATCCCGACTTGTCCGTCAGAAGGGATCCAGCTGTGGCGACGAGAAGCCCCCCAGGAGGCCCAAAGGAGCGAAGGGTGCCAGAGAGGGCTGCCGTGTCTCGACTGGTCCTCCTCCGACCTACGCGAACACTTGTCCCCGCGAATTCCCGGAAGAAAAACGTGCCCCACAAGATGCCGACCAGCGGGGCCGACTGGCCGATGCAGTAGGTGATCGTGAGCCCAAGCGGCTTGATCCCCAGGTTGAAAAAGAAGAAGCCAGCGCATAAGATGAGGCCGCCCAGTAGACCCATGGCGTGCCCTCGCCACCCAACCTCCGCGTAGCCTCCAGCCACCTCACAAAGGTCGTCTCCTTCCCCACCTTCTAGGGGAACGCACGTGATAAGTGGCACGAGCACAATCGAGGACACGAAGACGCCCACAGCAAAACATGTCTGGTTGGCGTACGGTGACAAGTCACAACCTGGACCAGTCGCTTTGCTCACCCAGATGTTGGAGAGGCCCAGCAGCAAACCGCCAATGGAGCACACCATAAACTTCCGGAAAAGCCCTGGCTCGGGAACCGAGTCTGTCTCATCACTGTCATCATCGAGTGCTGGCCTCTTCACGTCATCAACGAGTGCAGGTTCAAGCTCGCCCTCTTTTCGATAGGAGAGAAGCCCGACCATGAAGACCCCACACAACGCAAATCCGAGGCCAGGGATGAGGAACCTGAGGTCGCCTTCTCTTTCTCTCACGTAGCCGATGACGGCGCCGCTAACCATCGCGACCCCAACACACAAAGGAAACCCAATGGCGTTACCCATCATCGCAATACCTTTACAAAGCATAACATTTGCAGTGTTCCAGACTACACCCGCGAACGCTCCTGCAATGTGACACACGGCACTGCCGCCAAGTATTTCCTCGGTGTATGATTCCGTGAAGCCGTACTCCTCGCCACCCGAGCCGAATTGCCCACCCAGATAACTGACGACGAATCCAGTGAACAAAAAAGACAACGCGAAATCCGCATAGTATAGCTGGAACGGCATCAGACCTGCAGACAGTACGAGGGTGACGCTCCAGCTCCCCCAGCAACACAGCGCGCACAGAGCCATGACGATGCCGAGCTCATAGCTGGTTGGCACGAACATGCTGGTGGTGCCGCCGCAGAGCTTCCTCTACTATGACCGCCTGAACCAAACTGGCTTTTACTGCTAGGCAGGCGGCGGGTTCCGGAAACCCTGAACCAGAAGACGTTGCCATCTCTTGGGAGGCCGACTTCTGCTTCCGCCGGCCTCTCGCCGGCCTCTCGCCGGCGGAGGCGGCCTGGATCGAACTACTTCCGCCGACCTCCGCCGAGGCAGAGATTTGGACGCCCGAGTTATCCGGGGTAAGTCTGGTCCGGGGCACGTCGGGATCGGAATCCCAAAAAACGAACCCGAGTTAGCCCTGTCCCGAGTTACCCCTGATGATTCGGGGCTCTGGACGCCCGAAATATCCGGGGTAAGTCGGGTCCGGGGCAAGTCGGGTTCGGAATCCCGAAAAACGAACCCGAGTTAGCCCTGACCCGAGTTACCCCTGATGATTCGGGGCTCTGGACGCCCGAAGTATCCGGGGCAAGTCGGGTCCGGGGCAAGTCGGGTCCGGCACCCCGAAAAAAAAACGAACCCGAGTCAGCCCTGACCCGAGCTATACCCCTGCTGCTTCGGGGCTCTGAGAGAGGTGGCCATCCCCTCGGCCCTCGAAGGCGAGGGCCCCGCGGGGCGCCGCTCCGGGAGCCCGCGGCGCGCGCGGCGCCAGCCTCGGCCGGCCCCTCCGCCGATGCTCCGCCGCCTGCTCCCGGGCGCGGGCACCGCCTGCAGGAGGCGCTACGCTTAGGTCGGGCATGTGCTCCTGCGGGCGGATGCTGGACGAGAAGTTAGACACTGGCCAGAGATGCTCCCAAGTTGTCCAGCAATGCCAGGAAACTCGTCCCCGGACTAGTTCTGGACTACTTTTGATTATCCCTCCTGTAGGGGGACAGGCCCGACTTCACACTGCGCCGCCCCGTGCGCGCGCCGGGCCGCAGCGAGTCGCCAGGGCATCGAGATCGGATCGGATCGGGCCGGCCCGGATCCATATCGACTCGGATCGGCGTGGGCGGCAGCGTCGAGGGGGGGTCCCCACAAGGGGGGCGGTCGAGTTCGCGCGGAGTCTGCGTCGAGCCCTGGCCGAATCCGCGTGCGACAACTCTGGGCCGATCTCCGCTGCGGGCAGACGACGCGCGCGCCAGAGAGGCCGCCGCCCCCCCCCCCCCCTGCCCGCGCGGTGCGTCGACCAGGCGACCGCTGAATACGAAACGTCGAGTGCAGCAGATCCAGGCATCAAGAGATGCTGCTGACATGCATCCAAGGGCGCATCCTTCGGTCGATCTTGAACTTCGCGGGGGTGATCCCAAACTCCACCAATCAGGTTCCCAAACCGACGGGGAACAAGACATTGTCTTGGGGCTTGGTGGGCCCCGGAAACGGCAAGGCCGCTTTTTTCAATTCTCGAAGCATGTCCCTTGAAAGTGGAGGCAATAAGAAAAGCGGCGACCAAACACGGCAACAAAAAGACTCCGGGACTGGAACCGGGAACCTGAACCGGAAAAAAAAACGGCGACAGAACCGGTAAAACACATGGCGGAGGAACCGGCAAAACAGAACAGGTAACAAACCGGCGCTGTCGTTTCCAGGGCCGCTGGCGGGCTGATCTCCTCGATGCGTCCTCCCCTGAGTCTGTCTCTCCCCAAACGTTTCCCCTGGGAGGTCTCTGGTTGTCGGAACATAGCTCTGACCTCGGGCGGCTGTTCAGGACGATCCCAGCACCCCCCGAGCGCTCTCGACATCGTGCAACTGGTGGAGACCAGCCTGGGTCTCAAAACTTCCTCCTTAACACACAAACAACAAACTCCCCCCCGAAAGTTTCCTAGGAGGGGGAGGGGGGATGCACCCCCTCCCGTCGCCCCCCTCCCGATCCCAGATCAGGCTGTCCTGGATCGGCGTGCACCTCTCAAACTTGAGGAACGCCAGCTGGCGTTTGAGGGTATCGTGCAGGCTCATCGAGGCGAACACCCCGTCGCCGGCCGTGTAGGACGCTGCCTGGCCGGACAAGCGCGGTCTCCTTCTCCCTCGCGCCAGGGGGAGAGGGCGAGGACAAGGCGGTGGTCGTCACTGCGTAAGGGAAACACGTCCCGAGCAGAGCAGCGCGCACCACGACCACGACGACGCCGACCAACGACGACGGAGACGAGGCGCACCGACGATCCGCACCACAGCACGCATGGGGGGAGAGGGCCCACACTTCAGGTGCGGGAACAGGAGGAGGTGGAGGAGGAGGAGGAGGAGGAGGAGGAGGAGGAGGAGAAGGAGGCGGAGGAGGAGGAGGAGGGGGGCGGAGGAGGAGGAGGAGGAGAGGAGGAGGAGGAGGAGAGGAGGAGGAGGAGGAGGAGGAGGAGGAGGAGGAGGAGGAGCAGGAGGAGGAGGACGAGGAGGAGGAGAAGGAGGAAGAGGAGGAGGAGGAGGAGGAGGAGTGGGAGTGGGAGTCCGTAGCCATTTTGGCTCAAGCCCCAACCGCGCACCTTCGAGCGGTGCGACAGCCTCCCCTGAGCACGCCCCCCCCCTCCGCCTCGCCATCGCTTGGACGTCCATTCCCTGTGCATGTTTCGGTTTCGTGCGCGTGTTTCGTCGCAACGTGAACAGAAATGCTCCTCGATGGCCCTTGCCGACAACAAATGCACACGTCCGAGCGATGCCCAGCCCCAGAGCATCCGCCAGACGAATCGGGTTGGCACGCTCATGCCTTGCTGGACTCGGGGGGTACGCTACGGCCCTGCCTCTGACGCCGCCACCCCCCCTCCGCTGGGGCTACGGAATCGGGTGACGGCGACAGCGACCAGTGGCGGTGGGCGACGCGACCCAGAGCTAAGGAGCTCTAAGCACCGCGGCTCAGAGAGCCAAGAAGGCAGGCAGACGGACGGACGGACAGCCAGGCGGCGAGGATGGGAGGGCGAGGACGGGGAGAAGGACGAGGAGGAGGGGGGAGGAGGGGAGAGGGAGGAGGGAGGAGTAGAGGATAAACTTCTGACTCGCCTTACCCCCTCCTCGTTCTCCTCCTCCTCATCCTCCTCCTCCTTCTCATGGCCGTCGCTCTTCGCCCCCCAAAGTCCGAGTCAGACTGCACCTCGGACGCTGTCCCTCGCTCCTCCCGTTCCTCCAGATCCTCCTCCTCCTCCTCCTTCCTCTTTCTCCTCCTCCTCCTCCTCCTCCTCCTCCTCCTCCTCCTCCTCCTCATTCCTCCTCCTCATTCCTCCTCCTCCTCCTCCTCCTCCTCCTCCTCCTCCTCCTCCTCCTCCTGGAACGGAAGGCGCGCTCCGCGGCAGGCCGCCCGTGCGCCCGCCTCCCCTCGCGCCCTCTACCCCCCCCCTCTGGGCGCGGCCGCCGCCGGCCTCCACCTTGGGCGCGGCGCTCGCCAGGTTGCCGCCTGCGGCCCC